ATTTGGAATTATACAGGATGTTCTCACAAAGTAGGGCGCCCAAATGGTACATTTTTTAAATAGAACCTCCTGTATTAGAATGCATTTTTTAATTCTACGTGTAATTGTACGACTTTATTATATGGTTAATATCCGAAAAGCTAGTAGTTTTATAGATAATTCGATTTTTAAGAAAAATTGGGCATTTGCAAGCGTCAGTATATATTGGCAAAATTATTACTTAAATTTTGATTCCAGCTTTTTTTTTTATTATTGCCTTATATCTTTTATCCTGGGTTAAGTAAAAGCCAAATAAATACATCCCCTATGAAACATTAAAAATATAGCTTACAGGGTGTTTTTTTCTAGATCCAAAGTAACAAAACTTCATATTAAAAAATCTCACTTTTTTAAATGGAATACCCTGTATATTTTTCTGTCATCATTTAGCTCCTCCAAAAACCTTCAACTTTTGATAATAATATCCTATACCTACCTCTGATAGTTTTCGAAATATCTTGGTTTTCCTGGGTTTTATATTCTAATCTTAAATAAGTTATATGTAATTTACATAAAAGTGAGGTGGCCATGCAAAAAAAAGGCAATATTTATCTCGTACCTCTCGTACCTGATGATAGCGCTCAAACAAAACATTCACCCTGGTTTATTAAGCGGCAAAGCGATGCAAGCTTTATTGGGAAATCGATGGTGTCCGTCTGTCCGTGAACACGATAACTGTCAAACGCTTGGACCGTTTCGGTTCAATCTTTCCACATGTAACAAGCCTATTGAAAATGGGTCAAATGTAAACCCCGTAGGGTCATAGTGAGGTGCTCTGCCGGTTTTTATATAAGCTTTAAGGGTTTATTTGTTGTTTATTTGGTCTTCATCATAGAGAGACCAAAATATGTTATCGTCCAAAAAAGAATGCAGCTATACACTTTTAAAAATTAGTCGGTGCTGCACCAAGTGTCGACTTCAAAGTAAAAATGTACTGTAGCTACTAATTGAAATTAAACTATTTAATAAAAGAAAATGATTTGATTTTTATTAAAAGAAAAGCAGGTGAATTTTCAGATTGGTAAGTTACGGTGTTACGGAAAACCGTTTATTTAGTTTTTAATTAAAATTTACTTTTTCTATTTACTTCTGAACATGTATTTGTGTAATAGCCATCAGATAAGTAGATGATCTAGCCGGAGCAATTTATCATACTTAATTGCAACCTATAGGTACGTTTTATAAATAAAGTATTTGATTTCGGAATTATTATAAATTGAACTTTGCTAAGAGCGTGGGAAACGAGGTGCTATGGTAACGAGTAAATAAGGTTAACAAGGAAAGGAAAAGAAAAATATTGGAGATGGCTATTCATTACTTCTATTTCTAGAAAAAGCGTTAGCTGGAAAAATATACTATATAATGCAATTGTACTGTACACTTTCAGGGTGCATTATCTTACAGTTAGTTGAATGCAACGAGTAGTTTCGATTTTCTTTATCATTAGGGGTATAAAGTAATCGTGGCGCTACATGGATACTTTGTAAAAACACGTTTTCGCAATTAACTTGTTTCATTGGAATAATCTTGAAGTACAGGCATTATTGTCGTAACTTATTCAATATCAAGTACGTTTAGGCGCATGCTCTGCGTTTCGACGGAGCGTTGCGACGAGTACAGATTTTATCATCATTTGCTTTCGCTATTTGGCTAATATTCTAAAGAGTGCAATTTTAGAATTCTGACAGAAACTCAGATTATTATTGAAGCACACTAAGAAAAAGGATTATGGTCTCAGCTTCAAATTTGAAATCATAACCCTCATTAGCCAGGATTTGTTATGTTAAATTGTGTAACTTCTAGATGCAAATATTTAGGTCGTATCCATACTAAAATTCAATTCATATTAATTACCCGAGGACGAGTTGGAATAAGTTGAGAATCCTAAGGGGTTTGAGGATTAGATTTGGGGAAGGTATAAGCGGGAGAAGCGAGAATGAGGGTTTTGTACGAAAATGGTATATAAATGAAGCTTTTCTCAGAGAGTTTACTTTAACAGAAAATTATCGAAACAGCACTATTTTACGCGTATTGGGGGATACAACTTATTCAATAAGACTCTGATATTTGTTGGTCTAGTATTTTGAGGTTTCAAGTTTGCTCGATGCACAAGCAAGCTAGAAGAAAATTTAGATTTCTAATTAAATGGTAATTTTTTAACCCATGATAATATTATTTATGCGCACTTATTCCACACGTGACGCATATTGGAAAATTGTTTCTAAGACTTTATATTACTATAGTTAGGCACTATTCCAAAATGGAAACTCAGATGGAGCGATAGTTTTCATGAGAATTGAGTAATTTCCGCCTAGTGACTTGTATGGTTCAACTTTTAATGGAAGTAAAAAGTTGAAAATGGTTTACTAACAATTTCTTTGGCATCGACAAAGCTACTCTCTAACTAAAAGAGATGGGGGCTAAAAATGTTCAGCTATAACTGCAATGTAGAGGTTGGCCACTATTCGCAAAGCACACAGCATTTACTTTTTCTAATATTGGAAGAAAACGGTTCAGATAAAAGGGTGGAACCAAAATGGACACATAGGTAACCCCGTATCCATCATGCCTAAATGACGTACCTATGGCGTATCACTTGTGATACAGCATTGGAAAGCTTTTAAAAATTGCTGTTCAGAAACAATAGTTATTTACATATCGGTCAGGAAAATGGCACTTTACTGGCGAAGAGATATTGAGGCACGAGGTCCCTTTCGGGGCGAGTGCGTTAATTTCCGAGTCAAGTAATGTCATTTTACTGACAAGTTTTGTATTAAATTTTACCCGAAATCGTACGATCATTTTAATACATACTTTCAATTTTCATTTAAAACTTTTGATTAATGTCAACCTGCCAGTGATGACAGGACTCATTATAGACATTTAGGAAAGCGACAGGTGCGGCCGGTAAAGCGACAAGCGGCAGGAAAAGTAGTCTGGTCTGCCTCTGTCATGAAAGCAAAAATTTCCTGACATTAAGTAGTCATGAAAATGAAGCTTTCATGACGATTTTGTGTAAAAGATACATTGGCACATTTGGACCACAATGATACCATTATTGTATACGTAGCAGGTGCCCGAATAACTTTTATCTAATAAAACCCTCAAACTAAGAAATCCAGTGGTGTAGAATTTGGAGATCTTTATCCGATCCACTGTTCCGAAAATGTCTCATCTAAAAGTTCGCAAACAGCCAGCAGTATTTTATCTTATTTGATATCGATAAAATTGTCATACCTATATAATACCATGAATAGTCAAAGTATTGTCGAATATTTTTGAGGTGCTGTCGCGAATGCTAGTTACTCATATTATTACCAGCACTCGTGGTATTAAAAAGCGTAACTAGCATGAGTGGAGCAGCACCTCAAAAATAATCTACAAATACTTCGACTACGAATGGTATTTGAAGAACTATTCAATGAATCAAAAGAAAAATTAAGCGTAATTACCCACGCGAATGTATATTTATACGTAATAATATCGAAGCTCATGACATTTCCATCAAGATAATAAACGTCAAAATAAATTACGGAAGTTGCTTTTCATTTTGCTAATGATTCTATTCGATCTTTTTTGCTCCAAGATAATTCGTTATGAGTGATCAAACTAAAAGATGTAGTGATAAGTCGGTTGTCGAAATTGATTAACAAATTAAGAAGAATGTTCTGGTTAATACGAAAAAATTTCGCGACATTTCAGTGGTGGAAGTTTGACAAATGTCATTGAATAATCGCATTGAATTGTCGCTGAAATACCACACGTGAAATTATGACTATAATTCGTTCCAATTGGCTCACCAATTCAATGTTCAATTCATTTTTCTATGAACCTATCACCTAAAATGCTTATTCAAGCGTTACATTTTTAAAGTATTCCCGGGGGCGCAAAGAGCAGAGAGACCAACGGAGCAGGATAGTCAGCGATTGTCAACACTGAGATATGGAATGAAGGAAGAAATACTAAAAAATCAAGAAGATTCGAGATGCTGAAGCGGAACTGTGGGAAAGGCTGGATAGCGATATTTGGGGGCAAGGATACATCACAAGCAATTCAACGTAGAAAGCCGATAGTCGGATGGACTAACGAATCCTTTGCGGATACGACAAGGAGGCTGTTTCCGAATCGTAAGGAATTAATGAGCGTGGGGAACCAAGGACATGGAGTAACATTCGAGGAAGTGCCAAGGGAAGAAGTGATGAGCGCAGTATCGGGTTGTCGGTGAACAAAGCACCACGATCAGACTTGGTACCAACAGACGCTAGCAGAAACAAAACCCGAGATATGGACGAAGATTATAAATGACTGTCTGATCCAGCCAAATGGTAGGCATGTCGACTTGTTCTTACACCAAAGAACAAAACGGCATTTAGGTCAATATGTCTATTGGACTTGGCGGGAAAATTCATGCAAGGTGTGCAAACGGCTATAATAGTAGTGATTGAACAAAAAAATCTCACACCAACAGTCCAGGAAAAAAATACAAAATGCGCTACGGAGAATGGGGACGCCACGATACTTCAAACGAGTAATCAGTAGCTATCTGCGAGACAGAGTGGTGATATGATTTCATTTCTAATGCGGATCGGTACTTGGGCCGATCTTGTGGGATATTATGCATGACGGTGTTTTAAGAGTATTCCAAACCACTCGGAGTGAAAATAATTGGATTTGCCAACGACCTAACAACCGTTGTGACCGATAATCACCTAGAAGGAGCAGTCTAAAAGCTACAGGGAAGTGGATGAGATGAGTGAATGCTGAAGCTGGTATCAGAAAAAACAAACTGGCGCTACTCACCGGAAAAAAGACATTAACTCTAAAAAAAAGTTTTAAAAGTGTCACTCAGTATTTTACAATAACAATATTATAAGTTCGACGGAATAATATAATATGCACCTTTACGGAAAAGTGCATATTGAAGACGCTTTATATGTTAAACAAATAAGTTATACACTTACCTGTACTCTAGATTCGGTTAGTCCTATGCGCATTGCAATTTCCTCCCTCATAAATATGTCAGGATAGTGCGTTTTTGAGAAACATCTTTCCAATTCATTAAGTTGTGCTGGCGTAAATCTCGTGCGATGCCTTTTCTGTTTTGTGGGCTTATCACCGTCATTCGAACTTGAACTTCCTAGTGGTGGTAATCCATCGCAAAGTCCACTCAGTCGCGGTTGTTCAAGAACCTTTAATTCTTGGTGGCGTTTTAATTCTTCCCCGCACATTTCTTTGACGCCTGAAACAATAGTGTGGGGTTCAGTGGGAATTCTAAAGTTTGTAGTGCATATGTTATTCGAGTATTAGGTTTTGTAAATAATCTCAAGAAATTCATGAAATTATCAAGGTCTGGCCTGGCTTTGTGTACAAAAATTGTTTTTTTACGAATAATCATCAAATCTTCGTAGTAATGGTCCTGAAATTATGGTCACTCAATATCCTCGCATTCTTTTTTCTTGGTTTTCTCACCAAATTTGTTTTCGATTATTTTATACATTCGCGATTGCATTGGCATTTGAATTCCACAATCCCACACAGGACGATTACTGATCGATATTTTGAAAAAAAGTGTACCCACTCAGAATTTCCAAGTTACCTTAAATACGAGGGGTGAGGTATAATCTACTTATCCATGAAGATATTGACCAAACGCAATAATTTTTAACCTTCAACAGTTTCAGTATTTGTAAGTGTAAAGTGTCCTAAGTAAGTCACGTAGTTTCAAAATGAAAAATCGGTGACGTAAAACATGAACACAGAATCATTATAAAACTAAAGACTACAGGCGCAAAAATTATCCACGAATTACCATATATGCTCCACAATAATATCTAAGAGCTGAAAAACCTAAAAGCGTGTTCTTATAGTCACAAATAATAAGTAGGGAGCTTCTGATTCGGGCAGGTAAGTGTCGTATTTATCTATACTCTGTACCATATTTACTTAAACAGGAGCCAGTCTGATATTTTTTAAAGCACATATCATTACTTGAACGGCTGGTTGTTCCATTAGCGTATGGTCGCGTTACAATTAGCACCACCGGCTTTGTTTACATTGCCATAGAAAACTAACTGACGATGTTTGCTAGTCCGTTATTTACGAAAACCAGGACCGCATCTACATGGTTACTTTCTGTGTTTACAACGCCATGATTGGGTGCCCTAAAACGATTTGTTATTTGTATTTCAATGATGATTCAGTGACGTAATTCGATTTGGTATATTCTATGTTGTAGTACTACCACACTCGTACTATTTACATTAGGCTCAATTCCTTATAGATCATTTGCACCGTGTCACAATTACATTTGGTAATATTGATGCATCATACTCCTACTGAAGGTGCTTGGAAAGGTTTTGCAAGCCCAATTATTTGGCAACATTCTGAACTAAACCCACACCATATGGCAGCATCGGCGGTATTTTTTCTTCCAAATAATCAGCCCAGTATATTTTCAAGAGAAATATGGTTTGAAACAATTTCTATGGGGCCGACACTCAATTTAGGACCACCCAACATGAGTGTCTGAAAATACAAGATTTAAGGATATAGACGAAGATGTGTGTATAAAAGTGTCTGCTCAATAGATTGATTCCTCGGGAATCAATGCAGTGGATCCATAAGCGCTCCCCGTCCCCAAAAAATGCAAAAACCTTCGTCTGGAAAATTGATAGCGACCATTGTGAGGTATTTTAGATTATTCAATACCTATGTACGTGGCACCAAATACTTAGTTCGGACCAAACCCCATTAAAACATAATTTATTAAAAAAAAATTAGTTACCGGGCGAAACCGGGTTTTTCAGGCAGGAAAAATGATTAGAAATTGGGAAAAAATAGTTAAAACAGTTGAATTTTTCCGCGGGTGAAATCCCGGGGGTTGAAAGGGGTGGAAAGTGGTGTTTTGCAAATTGTGGCACAATTATTAATTTTAAACGAAAATGTTCAATGTAAACGTTACAGAGATTAAAAAAATGAGCAACTGAGCAATTTTCACATAACCTCCAATTTTCCTAGAAAAACCGGAAAAATTATTTTTTCGTTTCTTATTTTTATTTCTGAGAAAAAAAGTCGTAGAGGTTTGAAATTTGGAGGAAACAGCTTGTTTTATGATAAAAAGAGAGATAATTTTTTGAGCCCGTAAAGTTGAACCGTTTCCAAGAAACGATTTCTGAAAAAAACCACTACTTTTTCAAAGGGACGAAAAATCTATTTTTTTTCATCGTACAGAGGTGCGCGGAGTAACAACATTGTCTTAAGGACTTACATTTTAATAATCAAAAATAAAAAATATTATTCCAATAGAAAAATTTTAAGAAAAGCTGCAAACACTGGGGGAACAGTTTTAAGATATTTAAGATATACCTACACTGTTTTGAAATCTGCCTTCTCTCTCCTCTTTAATGTTGTTAAATATTTTCTTTTGTTTCCTAGTGCCCAACTGCCTTAATTAAAGCATCTTTATTTCTTTTTTCTGCATTTTTACCGCAATAAAAGCAATTCGAAGTAAAATCGAATTCTTTTTTGCTTCCTGAACAATTTGTTTTTGTTCACTAACTCTTCTTCCTGCCTGTTTTACAGCTAATGCGATTACGATGGGCCTGTTGATCGTTAAATTACCGGAATTACGATAAAGTCCTCACGAAGTTTATTCCTGGTTTTACATCTCAAATCATTTGATTTGACCGATAAAACAGATCGCAGATTTTGCAAGTTTATCAACAGGCCCAACGCAATTACATCAGCTATAAAACAGGCAGGAAGAAGAGTCAATGAACAAAAACAAATTGTTCAGGAAACAGGAAGCACGATAATTCGATTTTATTTCGAATTACTTTTATTACGGTAAAAAAAATAATAAAAAAAGAAATAATAAAGATGTTTTAACCAAAACAGTTGAGCATAAGATAACAAAAGAGAATATTTAAGCAAAGACAGATTTCGAAAAAATCTGTATTAACATCCAACAAGTTGATTTCTCATGTCAAAAACCGTGTAGGTATATCTTAAAACTGTTTTTCCAGCGATTTTCTCGAATTTTTGCTATATAAATAATATTTTTTTATTTTTGTTTATTTAAAATATAAGTCTTCCCAAAAATTTTGCTACCCCGCGCACCTCTGTACGATGAAAAAAAAATAGATATTTCCTCCCTTTGAAAAAGAGGTGGTTTTTTCAGAAATCGTGAGTACTCGGAAAAAGTTCAACTTTACGGGTCCAAAAAAATTGTCTCCTTTTTTATGACAAAAGAAGCTATGTTTACTCCAAATTTCAAATCCATACGACATTTTTTCGCAAAAATATGAATAAAAATCGAAAAAAAAGGTTTTTTATTATACTTCATTGAAATCACCTTATTTACACCTGTATTAGAAATAATGGTATCTGGCCTTTTCCAGGCTAGCGCACGGAAAAACTTTTCCCGATCCCTTTGATTCTTTCCGTGCGCTGAATATAAATACCCAAAATATTACTTTAAAATACAAATTTACAGGGAAGTAAACTAATTTTCAAAAAATCTATATGCGTTGTAATGTTTCATATGTAAGTATTTTGCGTTTTAATTCGTAGATGTTTGAATATTTAGATAAACTTCTTTGAGAATTTGTGACATTTTTTGACGTTTCGTCAACCTTCTCTGAAATAAACTAATTAAACAAATCGCCTTTGAAATGATTTGAGAGTAACCATGAAAACGCATTTTCTATAACTGTCACAAAATAAAAATGTTAGCGAGTTTGTTGTTTTTTGTTATCGATTTAAAAGAAGTATAATAAAAAATATCGTTCATTACACGTCCAGAAATGCTTTTTCCGTGCTTGCATGACTTCCCGTGTTCGGCTACGCCTCACACGGGAATTTGTCACGCGCGCACGGAAAAAGCCTGCTTTCCGGACTCCTAATGAAATATACTATTTCCGGTTTTTTGGAGATTATGTGTAAATAGTGCAAATACAAAAGTGTTCATTTTTTTATTCTCTATAACTTTTATATTGAACATTTTCGCCTAAAATTAATAGTTTTGCCCCAAATTGCAAAATAGCAGTTTCTACCCCTTTCATGGTTTTCGGGAGTTCTTAGAAGCATTATCATTTCTAAGTGTAATATGCCACGGAAAGATTATCATCCTTGGCGATTTTAATCTTCCAAGTATCTCCAATGTCGTATTGGATAACAAATGTAACTATGTATTTAATTCCTGGAGCATCTTAATTGAGTACCATTAAATAACATTGTTAATGTAAATACTAGGACACTAGATTTAGTTATTAGTAATCTTGATTTTGAGGTGTTTAAAGTGATTATACGCACTCTTTCCAAGGTGGATGAGCATCTACCACCTCTAGAATTCAATAGATAGGTATATGATTTAATACTGACAACTCTGACAGATTTCAAATAAATTGTAAAGAAAAAGTGCACAACTTCAGAAAAGCCATTTCCACTGTACAATGACGTAGGTATTGAATATTGATTGGAGTGTTGATGAAACTACCGATATAAATGTATAGGATGTAGGTAATATTTTCTATACAGTGCTTACTTTTGTTTTCCAGAGAGAGAGAAGTGTTCCAATACTAATACAATCCCACAAAAAGACGAAAATTTCCAATTTCGCTTACAAATATATATATATTGATAACTATGATTAATGTTAAACAAAAGGTACATAAAAAATACAAAGAAATAAAGATCCAAAGTTACTAGACGATGAATTTTCTCGACATCGTTCTTCAACTAAAATCGAGGCAATGTTGCGGAAAAATCCATTTGGATGACATACATTCGCTTAAGAAACGGTACCACGTATCTCTGCTACTTTGCAATGTAACAGCGTTACCCAGCAAACACATTTACGTTTAACAATATTCACTACCAGAATATAGCAATATCCGCCGAATATGGGCATTATATATACGTAGGGTTTTAGTCTATAACAAACGCTTTTTATACGGAACTGTGTTACTAGGTAGCACACTCCATGACACTCCTAAATCCATAATTGAAGCATTCGCTAATTGCTTTTCTAGTGTCTATAGCAGTCAACTCCCACAAGCGACGAAAGTGGTATCTGCTACACTCATTATTCAAGAGTTGGCCCAAGTTTAAATTTTGAATGTAAGAATAATACATAGGTATAACAGGTACAAGAACTACATGGAAATCGTTTAATCCATTTTTACTAACGATAAGATGTTCCATTAATGTTTAACACACCAGTTTTCGTTTGCATATTTCCAGTATTTTCATTTTTTTGCCACAATCGTTACATCTGTTACCATACATGGTACAAGCTTCATTGCAGCTTTCCTGTTTACACCTAGTCGCTAATTTTTGGAACTGTTTGTCTCTTTGCTGTTCTTGACTACCTTTTCTTTACTAGAGTTAGTACAGCAGCGGATTGTTATTTGTTTTACTTTTTTTTTCAGGTATCGTTGGAATAGGGGCCAAGTCGTCTAAAAACTTAGATGGAGTGGGTTTCCCTAAACTTTTGTTAATTGGTTGTAATTCCAAGGTAACTTGATCATTGGAATCAATAATAATGTAGTTTTCCTGATTTTCTTAAAATTAGCTTTTAAGGGTGTAAGGAAAGACCTATCAAGAGGTTGAAGGGCTTGGCTCGTGGGGCTTGGCAAGCATACAATGATGATATCATTTTGTTTAACATTTCTGGAGATGCGAGGTATGTCCATCTGAAATTAACACTATCTTGCTCTCACCTTTTCCAGAGAGAAAGTATTCCATTAGCCATTTCATAAACAATTCCGGTGTAATGTATGGACTTTTTTCGTTCATGTAGGTAAATATCCAATCTCGCGGGCAAGCTCTCTAAATGACTTGGATTTCTTCCAGTTCCCTTTAAAAATAGAACAAGAGGCATAAACACATCTTCAGAATTATTGCAAACAATTCCTGTAACATGCTTTCCTTTTTCCCACTGAAGTAAGTAACCTACCTATACATGCACATCTTTGCTGCCTTTAGGGCCGGTCTACAACTACAGCTATTCGCAGAATAAGATATTCTTGGAATAAGTCCCATAGCAACAACTATCCCATTGGTTGCCCCAACAGTAACCAACGCAACTGACAAAGTTTATTCTAGGTATAGCATATTCTCGGTATATACCTGCATTGTAGAATCGGTCCAGTCACATTCATTTTTCCCCGGTTTATTGTTCAACTGAATCCCACTTTCCTCCACATTAAAGATTTTATTTCCACTATTTATTAGATTGTTACAGTAGGGTTTTTTCTTAATGATCAAAAAACTCATTTACTTCGGAGTGACACATGCCCTTTGAACGGGCTAGAGATAAATCCTTATTTCTTTCTAAAAATGAATACAGCAAATAATGTCCTGCTGTTCCCTTTTCCTCTCCTTTTAAAGTTTCCATCCAGAAAAAAGACGTAGGTAATTAATGTAAAAAAATGTAGGTAACTAGCCAAATTGCATGCATGCGTTTGGATCATTCTTAAAAAGAATAAATATGGAAGTTATAAAATAAATTGATTGCTTGTACATGGATACCTATTGCTAGTGTATATTTTTGAAATCAGGATTTTTTCTCTGTTTGATAACCTATAAAACTTAACAATGAAAGACCAATGAAATATCAAAGAAAGTCCAAAATTCAAAAACGTCAATGATGTTATTTTTCGCCATAAACATAAGAGAGGGTGTAAACTTTGTTTTTTGATTTTATTTAGACAATAGACATAACTCGAGGATCATTGGTGTCAATTTAGCTAACTCTCCATATATGTTAATAAGCAAGATCTCTGTACACGAAATTTGATACAACCTGTATATCTACTATTTACATACCAGATCTCCATAATAACAGATTGAATCTAATCATTAACTTATAATTTTTTAACAGAAAGAACGAATAAAATGTTTATAGTAGGTACCACTTTATCCACACTGTTACTGACAAAACGAATAAAGTGAATATAAAGTCACTATTCCCATTACCTTTGAAATTTGGTTTCTATGGTTTGTTAGCAAAACATTAGACGATTCTTGCAAATTTTCCCAGAGAGAAAAATTCGTCCAATTTAGAACGTGTGCCGATTTGATTTGACACAGACTGTACCTACGTCGTAAATGTGCATCCAATTTTAATGCCAAAATAGAATTGGAAGTTGGAGAAGCGCACCTCGCGAAAACGCATGGTGTATAGGTATAGGCACAGGATTAAAATAGAGGTTTAGGGAATGGTCTTTTTAAAGATTAAATGGATTTTAAAAAAATGCAATAGTATTTACACAATGTTCGAAATTGCTGTGTTTTATGTAGCGTCACTATCTATAAGTGTACGTAGATTAGGTATTTGAAATTCTCATTTTCACTTCGAATAGTTTTAAACTGAATCTCTTACTGAGCTAAAGAAATTATGAATTCATATCCTTGGACAAATTGTAATTCAAATTTAGTTAAAGCTCATATTAAAATACTAACCTGTAGTTAAAGTTAATGAAGTTAACGTAATTTCATTTCATTATACCTACTTAATTTACTGTTTAACTTTCATTAAAATTTAAAAATGTTGCTGAACGTATACGCGGAATTATCTTTGCAAGACTAGCATTGCATTATTCGCGATTCAGTATGCATTGACTCAATTTTTCACATACGAGTAAATAAAATAAATAAATAAAATAGTTGAATGTATGTGAGCTACCTGGTTAATTTCCCAGGAAGATAGAAATGTTTAATAAAAATGTAGTACCTAATCTATATTTTACGCATGGTAATTCAGGATGAGCTTCCGTGTCCGACGACTTAGAATTATTCTCGAAGCAAGATCACTGTATTATTAATTGATGTACTGATGATATGCACATTCAAGAACGGTGATTGTAATTGGATTTTGTACAGGTGACATTTTTGAGTTCACGTTGGGCGATTTTGATTATATTTTAACTAAACGAAAACGATGGATGCAGATGAAGCATATATGCTTGGTTTATGGAACTTCACAGTAACAGTATAGATGCAAACCGTAATTTACCCCTAAAAGGAAATAATAACACTGCAAAAACGAAATTTAATCGAACCAGTTGTACCTATTTCAAACACGCATCCGAAATGGTGATTTACGACATTTTCCCGTGGTCATGATATTTTTTGTAGCAAAAAAAAACAACTCAAAAATGCTTTATTAGAAAATAGAATTACCTACACCGCGATTTCTCGGCTCCCCCATGAGATATTTTTGTGATTCTAGACTAGTTTTTGGCCCACTCCACTATGGATGAAAGTTTGGTTCTCCTTTTTTTTTTTGTTCGGGAAATGGTATGATAGGTATAAACGTTTCTGCAAATTTTGGGGAATATAAGATATAAAATTACTACAATAACCATCATCATCAGTACACTAATTAAATTCTACACAGTTATTATCTTTTAAAAACTGCTTCAAAATATATTGAACGATGTGCGCCATAAAAAAGAGAAATTTACACTATATAGGCATACTGTAGCGAGCTATTGCAAAAAAAGTTCAGTTAAATTCTTTTCGCATTTTGTAGTTTACCGAATTATTGAAATCCCACCCCTTGCAGTGTTCAACTTCTATTGAGCACCGCGATAACGCCACGCGGACCGAAACGGCTTTTTTATAAAGGAAGGAAACATTTACGAAACTTTCTTTCAGATTCCTCATTTAAGGAGTAGGTAATATACTGATGTGATAAAGTATTTTAGGATGGTATACTTAAATCCGTATATTATTTCATATAGTTCTTTTCTCCAGCTTTAAAACCTTCAGTTCAGAGTTCTGGGTGAAAACTGTTTGTGTAGGAGGACGGCGTCTCCGACTAGGGACGTCGCGTCGCGACGCGTAGGTGCATAATTTGCTATAAACCAACCGCCCTTATCGAAATAGAATTTAATACATCAAATGTTGGCCATTAAGCTCATTTTAGGGATTTTTTATAAATTAGCAGTTTAAAAACCAAAACGAAAAATGCATTAAGTATAGGCTATTATATAATTACCTACCACCAAATAGATTTCGGGTGAAGTCCATTGGTTTGCTATTCCCGAAAAACGCTTCCTATTGCAGTGCATATTTGTCGCTGTAACGTTATACAATCGAGTTCCGTAGATTAGAACTAAATCCCGAACTCTGAGTTTTTGATTAAGGATTTTAGAATTAGCACACGTTAACTGAAGGCACAGGTGAGGGCGAACCTTAACACCTTATATGGTCGAGGTGTTCGGTTCGCGTTGTGAAGCATCAACTAAAGATACAGAAGAGTACATACCCTTCGTGGATGCGTGTCCCTAATTGCATGGCCTACCGGAGCGTCCCGGTGATATTGGCTTAATGAGGGCGAGGCTGCTTCAATTTAGCCCATTTAACTAGCCTATCGTTCTACGCTGCATCACTAAAGACTTTAGCGCCAATTAAAGCCCCCACTAACTTACCGACAGAGCCCAAATTGTTGAGCATGCTGATGCCACAAACGGTCTCCAGACTGACGCACTTCACTGTTTATTTAATGAGTACTGATTTGATACTGATTGTGAATATGTTGTCTATGCCCTGGACGGCGCTTGTGGGTAGGGAGCCAATTGTGTAACCCCCTCGGAGGGCGGAGCTATCAGGTGCGGGCGAGGCGGAACATCAAAGGAAACTTCCATTGCTCTACCCTCTCCCTCCGCATTATACGGCATTATTCGACCCCCGTTCAGGCTTCATTGCTCATCCCTGCTTTCCGACTCATCCCTATTTCCCGCTTACTGGTGTTTCCGAACTTCTTCAACAAAGACATTCTTTCGTATCTCTTGATGGGCTGGATATTGAAAGTTAAAAATTTAATATAACTTTAGACTATACGAATTATTTTCCTCCGCATTCCCTGCTTTCATTAAGCAAAAATTTTCAATTTCTGTTGCTCCTACACTTCAAGAATGTTGTAGCATTCGTTGCAAAAGTTATGCAATTTCAGTTATGCTGTAACAAATAGTTCAAATTGAAGTGCTGAAAACTCACCAACCCATACTGAGCTCTCTTGCATTGTTCGGTAAATTTCTCTTAGATATGGAAAACAAGTATTATTTTCATTACGTTAATAAAGAGAACAACATAAACACTAAATTCCTTATTATATGTTTACTAGGTAAGTTTGGACATAAACATAATTTTATGCCCAACTGCATGATAATGATATTTTTATAGTATCTACCTAGCTACTATCGGACATAAGTTGAAATATTATGGACTAGTTCCGCCTGTCATTTATTTAGCTGGGTACCTCTTACTTCTACGTTAAAATTGAATAGGTATAGGTACCTACTCCTGGTGGCGACCAAAACTCTCAGTAGATACCTACTCCAAAACTGAAAAGTACTTAAAAATGAGGACGATTACGTTTATTACAAATGTAGGTAGTCATATAGGTAACTAAATTAACGAACTAGCAACATAACTCACATACAAAAGTTCTTTGCCGAATATGTTATGCGCATTCATTGTGACTCTGCATTGTTTACGACTTTGGCAACAAATCCACATTGCTCTAGGTGCAGATTCTTTAAAATTTTTATTGGGACAAATACTAACGCAAGACATCATAATCTTCGTCATCATTGTCCCAATAAACACAAGGACGTTTATTAAACGTTACATTTTTCCACCACGCACGTCAATAGTAAGTATATTTTGTGCTAGTATAATATACGAAACCCATGTCGCGCTATTAAACATACATTTAAACGTATATTATACGTATAAAACATTTAAAAATATATTATTTTTTATGTAATTAGCATCGAAATCTATACGTACATATTGAGTTTAGTGGCGCTATGGCATTGGGCCGCAAGACATTAGGACGCGGGCATTAGGACGCGGACATTAGGACACGGACATTTGGACGCGGACATTAGGAGGCAGACGTTAGAACGCAAGCATCATGTAGATGACGATCACCTTACAAAGCAAAGATCAGGTCGCAGGTAGGACAATACTTTTTTCATCTGTGTATGCGCTCTAACGTCTAGTCCTAGCCTATGATCTGTGTCCTAATGTCCGCGTCCCAGTGTCTGCGTCCCAATGTGGGCATTTTAATGTCAGCGTCCTAATGCCCGCGTCCCAATGTCCGCTTCCTAATGCCCGCGTCCTAATGCCCGCGTCCCAATGCCTGCGTCCTAATGTCCGCGTCCTAATGTCCGCGTCCTAATGTCCGCGTCCTAATGTCCGCGACCTAATGTCTGCGTCCTAATATCCGCGTCTAAACGTCTGCGTCCTAATGTCTTCGTCCTAATGTCCGCGTCCTAATGACTGCGGCCTATTTCCATTGCGGTCTATTGTCTTGCGACCCAATGACGGCATCGTATTGTCTGCGTCCTAATGTCTGGCGGCCTAATGCCCGGTCACCGAGTTTAGTGTGCAGTTGAAACGTAAAAACAACGTAAAATTAAACCAGTAATATTTTTTATTAAAACGGGTAAAATTGGTATGCAACATAGTTATAGTATACGTATAAAATATTTAAAAATATCCATATGTTGTTAAGATGATGCCCGTATAGAAATATTAAAGGTTGTTTTTTGAAATGTAAAATCAACGTAGATAATACTATACCATTAATATTTGGTAATACAAATGTTTAAAATTGAAGTATTAAACATATTTTTATATATGTAGTATACGCATAAAACATTAAAAACTACACAAATTTATGCAGTAATTAAAAGTTTTAAAAAATACGTATTATTCTGTTTAAATGTTATGTCTCTTAGTACTTGTTTACAATAAACGTATACGTAAGAAATACATAAAACGAAAAAATTTCGCAAAGTTGAACTGTATAGAAACATACAATGTGTTTACAATGAACGTAATTTTTACGTACGTATATGTAAGCGATATGTAAGTCTTGCGCATAGTCGCGAAGGTGGAAAATGTTTCAAAGTTACGTACGGTTAAAGATCATACTACATGTAGTATGATCTTTGGTTTATTGTAAGCAGCGAAGTAAATTTACGGAAACGATACGGATATGTACGAGTTACGGTTTATGAAATATTTACGTATACGTTCATTGTAAACAAACACTTATATGTAAAGAAAACGTAAACTTAAACCATTACCTAATATTAAACAGATTAATACATTAAAAAAAAAACATTAATTTTAATGATTTATTGATTAAAAAAATACATAATTTGTTTGTAAATATAAGTAGTCAAAAAAAGTAAAAACATCGTAAAAATATCGATATTTCAAATGTATTGTAAGTATTAGACTAAATGCAAATTATAAACGTTGTAAGTACATAATTCTGTTTTTTAAACGTAAAATAAATGTTTATATTAATTAATAAACTGCAGATAAACGTTTATTAATTGTAGTTTTCATACCATTAGTGTACCTATATTTATACGCTAATTTACGTATATTAATTATATGTAACGTACGTTGTAACTACTATCTAAGAAATCCGTACATATATTTAACGTAAAAAGGAAGACGTTTATTATAAAAACCATTTAGATACATATAATCGAATATACGCAATACGTACCTATATTTTACCGCTTATACACGTTTAATAAACGTCCTTGCGTTTATATTCACCGAATATTTTTTCCAATTTCTGTAAAGAACGAAAAATATTAGATAGACAAGGGTATGATTCAATAGAACCCTATCAAGCAGAGAAGAGATAGCATCATATTACGACTTTCTTTATTACAGTTATGATAACAAAATGCGGAAAAAATCAACGAAAGCAATACAAATTTGCAAAGAAACTTTGTTACGAAATAAATATTTTAGTTTCTGTTAGGTATTTTGAATCTTTAAATATATATAAGTACTTCTATGTATTTCATATTCTTCACGAAGATGTGTTTCCCACCAGTCAATAATTTCCACAGAAACTGAAATATAATCTAGTATGTTGAAAACAGTTCAAAGACTCAAAGGTGTGTTATGTCCTTTTATTCAAAAATATTATTTGTGCCTTTTTATTTTACATTTGTTTGGATTTAACCAAAAGAGTGAATTGCAATTTATGATTGATTCAGAACCTAATGGGATACATAATTCCAAAATTTAATTGGCACATAAAATATTGACAGTGTCATAATAAGTTATGCGTTTATTGATTGTCAGGTGGTCAGTGGTCTTATGAAACTCGAAAACAATGAAATAATTCAAATGGTTTGCCAAATAAATTAGTTCACGATTTGTGCAAATGATAGGTATCATTAGAGAGAGGTATTTATCTATCTGTTGCGAATTCCATATACCTAATGAATAAGGTATTAAGACTAATAGTGCTGATGATCTTATAGGCAGTTTAATTCAGTGCTAAATAATATACATAGATTTTTAGACTTGGTATTCTCCAATATTGGTTTACTCGAGGTCCAACGTGGTTTTGATTGCGTTGTTCCTGCAGACGCTTACCATTCATCACTGACTATGTCATTTAGTCTGGTAACAAACGTGCCTAAACTTGAATATGCTACGTACATAGTACGGTGCAATTAGACGCAAACCTCAACATCCAAAGTAAGTTTCCCTCCAACTCCAAAATGTTCTATACAGCCCACTTATTGTTTGGTAAAAAGTTACACATTTTAAGCGTCGGGTTTGGGTAGGAGGGAAGAAGAACTTGGTAAAGTAAGTTTTTCTTGTGCACTGTAAGGAGAGAGATAAGGCCCATTTTGTTCTTAGCGTTAGCTAGAAATTCATTTTGATTGATATTTACCTACATGGATTGAGTGTTCTACTTTCACTTCAATGTTAGTGGTAAATGTGATCTGCGTAAGTGTTCTTCATATTTTGTGTTTCCTAGCTCGTATCCGTCAAAAACGACAGTTGCTGGCCTATAATGAGAAATTATGTAATCTGACTATTGCTCGCAAATCTGACTGAAGGTAGCGGGGCGTCGCCAAACCACACAATGAAGAAGGTGATCTCCATCAATGATGTAAGACACTTTCTCTAAATCTGGGATGATTGACGATACATTTGGATCTGTAACTATAACAGTCACGATTGTATAGATTTGCTTCCCTTTCTCATCAAGCCAGATTCGTCGAAGATGGATGGAGGATAAGCACATAATTCAAATTGAAACATTTACACATACAGTGTTGTTAATTTTTATAGACTTGGTTATAGAGGGTATAGAGACCTAACAGTTAACTTATCTTTTCAAGTGTACTTCATTGAATGTTTTGTTCTCAATCTCTTTCAAGGC